CAAGAGCGAGTATTCATGGGATATTGTGTTTTTTTGAAAACGACGATTAGAAGTGGTGGGTTTTTGTAAATTAGGTTTTTGATTCGATGGGATAACTCTAGTAAAAGGTTTATAATTTTGCGTATTCATGCTATCCGTTCTGTTTTGTGAATAAAGGAAATTTTCTTTTACAATGACTAAACACATTGCTATTTTTAGCGAATCTGGATTTCTAAGTCCGACATAATTTTGTAAGTATCCTGGGAGATTTCTAATGAATGTTTTTAAAGCTAAATCGTCATAATTGTTTATTTGTAAAATTTTTTTCTTGTGCTGGAATTAAAGAATTATTGATTGTCGAAACAATGAGGCTTCTCAAATCCTGACATCTCATTCCAAAATTATACGGTGACTCATTTTTATAAGGTGTTGAAGAAATTAATTCTTGAACAAGACAATCAAGATTTCTTTGATCTCCAAATGAAAGTTGTAATGCAGATTTAATATCAGTCTAAAGTTTTTAATTCAATGCGAGAACCAATGAGTGTGAAACTCTTCCAGTTAATTCACCTCTTATAGCTCGTAATAAAAATTTGTTAAAAAGTTTGATCAGTTTGACTTTGAAAAGTTGCAATTGAATTTTCGCAATTAACTAAAAATGTTCCTTCGTATTGGGGTATTGTAAGTATATGTAATCTTAATAGTTGAAAATTTGTTTCAGGCATTTTTATTTCTTCTCTAAATGAATTTTCTAATAGTTTATTCATATTATCTAAATCGTTCTCAATGTTTATAAAATTTGTTCGCGCAAATTAGATGAAAATTGAAAAATAAAAATATAATATTATCACTTATCGGGTGAGGTAATTTAGGAATTGGATAGGTTGGGATGTACTTAAATCGACTTATCGTTGCTTTCATTTGTTCTTGGGATTCTTTTTGGTTTCTTGCTTCTTCGTTTTCTTACTTCTAGGTTGCCAATAGGAGTTCCAGCGATGCTTGTCTGTTGTCGCTGATCTTCATGAAGTCGGAGTTGGCAATTTTTGTCCTCTTCCGGCAGGTTTCCCAAAATCTCAGATTTTCTGGTGGATGTTCAAAAAAATCGTTGATACGAACTGAAATCACTGCGATAAAAACTTCGTTTGACAAATCCTACCGATTTTTATTAATGTCATAAAAGGTCCTTTGTGAACTTGTATTAGATGAGCTGTGGGTAAGTAAAGTTTGTCCCCTCTAGCAATATACTTATTTATATCTTTGAAGGTTGGAAATTCATTTATATGTTTTTTTTACATAATGAGCAGCCTAGTTTTCGTGGTGGCTTTGTGAAAACAATTTTCGAAAAGGACGAAAAACTTTGAAATTGACAAATTACTTCATTCGTTAGAAAACAAAGAACAAGTAAAGAGTGACGAGAGGC